TCAGTATTCAACGTTTTATGTTAAAAACAAAACATTATTTATGCATCTGTAACTGCAGGTTAAATGCATCCATGTCTAAATAAGCTCTTTTTCTCTTCTCCCACTCCCCCCTCCCAAATACACACACACAGTCACTTTAATCAGTCTAAATAAGCTCTTTTTCTCTTCTCCCACTCCCCCCTCCCAAATACACACACACAGTCACTTTAATCAGTCTAAATAAGCTCTTTTTCTCTTCTCCCACTCCCCCCTCCCAAATACACACACACAGTCACTTTAATCAGTCTAAATAAGCTCTTTTTCTCTTCTCCCACTCCCCCCTCCCAAATACACACACACAGTCACTTTAATCAGTCTAAATAAGCTCTTTTTGCACTACAAATCATTATATCTGCACTGTTGTTTACTTCACTGGTTTGCACTCTATCTGCCGTGTGCTGCTTTATATATATATATTTTATTTAAATTTTTTTTATTTATTTATTTTTTTTACATTTTACCTTATTTGTATATTTGTATAGTTGTATTTTATATTTAATCTGTATATCTGTATTTATGTTCTACTGTTAGTGTTATCTGTATGCACCAAGGGTCTGAGAGTAACGCAATTTCAATTCTCTGTGTGTATGTGCTGTACATGTGGAAGAATTGACAATAAAGCAGACTTGACTTGACTTGACTTGAATGCTCCTGAGCTAAATTTCAGCTGTCCCAGATGCAATGGAATAATTAATTTTTTTTTATTTTTAATACATTTGCAAAGATGTTAAAAACCTGTTTTTTGCTTTACCATTATGGTGTATGGAGTGTAAATTGATGTGGGAAAAAAGTAATTTAAAGCAGTTTAACATAAGGCAGCAACTTCATTCAAAAAAATGAAGGGGTATGAATATTTTCGCAAGGCACTGTATACCAAGTCTGGGGTCATTACAGTTTTATTTAGCAAGGATGCATTAAATTGATAAAAAGACGGTACAGACATTTATAATGCTACCAAAGGTTTCTATTTTAAATAAAATGCTGTTTTTCTGAATTTTCTATTCATCGATCCTGAATCCTGATTTAAAATAAAAATTAAATTCATGGTTTCCACAAAAATATTAAGCAGCTCTGCTGTTTTCAACATTGACTAAATCAGCATATTAGAATGATTTCTGAAGGATCATGTGACACTGAAGACTGGAGTAATGGCTGCTATAAATTCAGCTTTGACATCACAGGAATAAATTACATTTTAAAATATATTAAAATAGAAAACTGTTATTTTAAATTGTAAAACTATTTCACAATATTATTGTTTATACTGTATTGATCAAATAAATGCAGCCTCAGAGAACATAAAAGACCTTTTTCAAAAGCATTAAAAAAAATCTTACCAACCTCAAACTTTTGAATGTTAGTTTATGTCGATTTAAACCCGGCTATAGACCAATCCATTAATCAACTCCACCATAGCCAACCATGGGCTGTACAAGCCAGGTAAAAGACTGACCTTTGACCTGAAGGGCTTGTGTGAGGCAGCAGAGGAGAGGAAGGCTGTGGCGGCCTTCATCACGTCAGGATCATCAGAGGTCAACAGCGCTGCCACGGCCCAGAGGGTTTGAGGACGGGGCTGGAGACACATGACGGACACTTCCTGCAGCTCCTTCACACAGCGTTCTGTATCCACACAGCTCAGGGCTTCTTCAAGCATGACTGGTTTAGACACAAAAAATAAATATTAAACTATGCAAAAACTGTGCTAATAATCTATAAAGCTTTAAACTCATTATTCGTTATTATTCAATAAAAGCGTCTTACCCTCTTTGGCTAAATCCAGCAGGTGTCGCTCCATGTCCGTGATATCGTGTTCAACAGTGTAGTGGTAAAACTGAAACACGGTGATGACATCCTGTGCCAGAGATGACGGTGAAGGACACCAGGATGAGGCCAGCTCGCTCCTGTCCATCATCTCGTTCACCACCATCCTGATCACTGGACACACATGCAGATGAACGCTGGTGTTACATTCACTGCTGATGTTTCCCCCTGCAGATTAATATTGTTGTTATTGTCACTACCTGAGTCAGGAGAGTGAGGCAGAATCTGTTGCAGTGGTAAGGCAAAGCTGAGATGCATGTGCTTCAGCACTCGGTCCAGTGTAGTATGGAACAGACCACCACTGCAGTCGGACCACAGAGACATCAGCGCCTGACGCTCCACCAGCCCAGGCAGCACTGTTTAGGGAACCAAGAGAGGTTATTTCACTTCAAACACAACTTTTAACAGCACCTTACTAATGAATTAAGAAATTTTATTGGTCATAAATATTTATTGGATGGTATGAAATTGTATTTCACTATTTATAACTGCAGGTCAGTTTGTCACTTGTATTATAATTCCTTGGTTTAACAAAAAACTCAGGACAGATTCTGATTTTGTTCCTCATATTTTCATTTGGTGGCTTAGTTTATGCAATACCACACATACATGTCATCACATATTTGAAAAAAAACAATTACTTCAAAAAAATATTTTAAAATGTATTATGTATTAAATGTATGAAAAGTATGTATTATTACTATAGTAAACTATATAGATTTTTATAATTTAATAAAATATTGTTTAGCAAATAATAACAGTTAATATTATTATTATTATATAGTTTTTTTTAACACCATATACTGTAAGGTCTTTTCCCTATATCCTCATGCTAAAATTGACTGTAAATCTATATTTTAAAGCTGATTTTTTTTCCTGGGAGTGTTTGCAATCCTGAAAATAAATGTACAATAGCAAATTTTCTATAGTTAGGTAAACATTTGTCTGTTTTTGCTTTGAAAAATTGTTACTCACGTCATTGAGTGTCAGATTATAATTTTTGCTATTTCATTTCAAGTTCGTAATATTGTTGAGGCTAAAAAAAGAAAAAACGATTTCAATAACTTTCTAAACTGATTATTACTTGCACTTGGCGAGTGTTAATTTTAGACCCTGATTACTGCTATAATAATTAAGTGCTATAATAATGTTCTAGCAGAAATGTCTTTTGCACTAGTGTACCCATTCTGTCAGAGCAAAAATATACACTTTAATAAAATAAATATTATGCTTAAACAGCTAAAAATCTTTAAAAAAGTTTTGAAGTACATGTGAGAAGTCACCGTAACATCATAATTTTTCCACAAGGACTAGTAAATATTAACACTTGAGATATACTCACCATCAGACACTAAAATGCAGCTGCCCGGTCTGTCAAAGTTTTTCTCACTGAGCTCCTCCAACAGAAGTGTTTGAATTGTTAGTTTGTACAGGTATGTCATGTGCTGCGACTGGCTTCCTCCTGTGGTCAACAACTGCATCCCATACATAGAGAAACTTCAGCATTTTATATTAAATAAACACACACACAATCTGTTTATGCCGTAAATGTGCTGTCGACTGACCATGTTCGGTGTAACAAACAAATAAAAATCACACTATTGTGGAATCTGTTGTAATGTTGTAAAGGTGGAAAAACAGAATCACCTGAATGAGATGATTGCAGTATTGTAGATGAACAACGATGGCCACGTCTAGGTTCTCGTTTCCTGTGGTGAGAGGCAACGGGCTGCCGGCCACACTGTTCCCCACACCAGTGTCCTCTGTGAGGGCTTCACTCAGGTGGCCTCTTGCTTCTGGATGTTGGCCTGACCTGTTGAACGTGCAAGATACACTGTCACCACCAGAGGGCGCTACATAAATACAACTACTGAGGCCATGTAGTCAAGTTCCTCAGAGAAACCTGATCACCGAAGGGTGTAATGTCCAACTCACCCGATTCTCTCTGACTCCATGTCAAAGAAGACAGCGCGTGAGAGGGTGGCAGCATCATCTCCTGTGTCATCGTCATCGAAGTCAGAGGTGTTGAGGAAGTCGAAACTTTCCAGAGCGCTCTCCACTGTCAAACTGAGGCTTGATGAACGGCTCCTATGGGCAGGTACCCGACACTGAGGAGAGACAACAACCTTCATTTAAGACTGAGATCAGAAGAGTCAAGTCGAAGATAAGACAGAGACCTGAAGAGGGTCTGAACGATTCAGACAGTGTAAGGTTTTTTGTAAGTTTTTGCATTCCACTTCGCTGTTTTTCAATTGTTTTTCTAAGTCTTCTGCAGAGTCTTGCACATGACAGGACGTTCTAAAAACGTAATGCTCAAAGTTAAAAAAAAAAAAAACACTTCTCTTTTTTTTTTTATTACACTGCCCCACGTCTCTTCTTTTTAAACACAAAAACATGTTTTATGTGAAAGGCCCCTAAACATGCCTTCTTTTGTGGTGAAAGAAGCCTGGTTTGTATCATGCAAATCTCCGCCAATGCAAAAACATAAGCTCCGGTGAGAAGTGACGAACGTGGAAGCGCAGAGGAGAGAGCAAAACAAAACACCGGTCACGAATTAGAAGTACAAAATGAGGATCATTTCTATATCCTCCTGAGACCCAGCTATGGAGTTTTTGCCTCTGTAGTGGACATTATATTTTAGTGAATTTCTCTGAGACCTCACATGTCACAGTTGTAAGTCTGGATGTCCTGTACAGAGCACATTCAGGGCTTTTCAGAGATACCAAATGATTGGATGTTTCACCATGACCACTCCCTCTCCTTGGTTTTTAAAAATGGCTGACATTAATTTAGTGATACAATTGTACATCCTTGTGGAAATATGATAATATTTTGTAATTATAATTTAAATCTGATTAATTTTAAAATTGTTTGTCATAAATCAACATCTCAGGAAAATGTTATGGGGTTGACTAAAATATGACTGCCTGTTATGAAACAGGACATAATTTCATACATGTCCACTGTAGAGGACACCAGGACTAAAAGCATGTTTATTATACATTTTGGGAGACAAAAGAATTGAATAGGAAAACAAATTATATATCAATATTCTTATGAAATATTAGATATTATTATGAAAATCTGGCCAATTACTACTCCCATTATTACACTTCTTTTTTCAACATGCTGTCCCAACAGCACTTTAATATGCAAATTAGATAGTAGTCAATTAGATTAGCTAGTCACGAGACTAGCATATTTTCACCAGAGCTTACGCTACACCTACATCATCCGCTGGAACGCCACTCTCTCATGAACACACGTACGACTGTTAGCAGAAGCTAGAGATCACGGCTTATAAAGTTTTAAATATGGATATTTTTCTTACACAAAAGCATTGCTTCGCTTCAGGAGGCCTTTATTAACCCTCCTGAGCTGTGTGGGACACTTTTTATGATGGATGGATGCACTTTTTTAGGCTTCAAAATCTCACCGGTGAACTATCCTTTTAACAACCGTTTAAAAAGTATGTTCTATATAGTATGAATGTGTGTAGAATGAATTTAATCCAAACATACTACATTCGTCATGTCGTCATTGTCATGCGACCTACCAGCGTCAGTTGCGTTGCTTCACTGCCATTCACAACTTGGATAGCAAAGTGTCAATCAGATGCACACTTCAGAACCAGAAATAGTAGGTCATCCAGAGACTTTTGGCATACTGTTTTATGAATACTGTGAATTTGGACATACTATGTTCACATACTGTTTTTTGCCTACAATATAGTAGGGAAGTATTCGATTTCGGATGCATCCTTGGTCTCAACACAAATGCTCCTGAATGCATGACAAGACTAATACCACGAAAATATGGTCTTGGATTTGGATTCAAGGTGGACTCAGTAGATTATCTGAACCCTAGACCGCCTTTTTCCAACTAACTGTCATTCTTTGGTACCTAAGTTCATGCTAATCAAATGAACCAAGCTTCATGATCAAACAAACTCAGGTCTGCATCAAAATGTCAACAGTAACTCTTCTAATTGAAGACCACAGAGAACTCATTCACCTTAAGCAGGTCTTCGAGTCTCATGACCTCCTGCTCCAAGTCCTGCAGCTCCCCGCAGCACTGGCCCAAGCTCTCCAGCCGCAGGAGCAGGGACTGAATGGCTTCCTCCAGGCTGCTCTCCTGGAAGGTCCTGCTGCTCTCTCCAGACCAGCTCACAGCGCCGGCCTCGGGCAGCATGTCAGAGGAGGTGAGCCTCCTCACCAGTTGCCTGGTCAGACTGCCTTCCTCCCCGTCTAGCTCCACTGGCTTCAGCTCCAGGGCTTCGTCAGACACATTGGGCTCCAAGAACACCACATCCTCAAGTCCCACCACAGACAGCTGACTCTCGGAGCACAGCGAGGGGGCCGCCGAGCCTGTGCCGTGCCCCTGGACCTCAGCCTGGTCCCATTCCAGGTCTGGATCGCTGGCACTGACACTTCCGCAGTCTTCCTCCACACACTCCTCCTCAACCGGCTGCTCCTCAGAGGCTGGAGCTGGTTCAGAGGTAAGGTCCATCTCAGGGGGCGTGACGGTGATCTCAGGGTTTGACTGGATGGGGGCGGGGCTTGAGGTGGGCGTGTCAGAGAAGGTGAAGGACAGACGCTTGCATTCGGCCACACCGCAGCCTCCGTTCTCAAAGACATCATCTGGTAAAGTGGACTGTGTGATGGAAAGAGAAAGAAAGTATGGTAAATACGGCTCCCTGATGCCATTTATTCTTATCAGCACTACTATCTATATATAATTTTAGTTATCTAAAGATACAAACAATATTTTCTGTCCACATGTCCAGAACAATAAAGAGCAGCAGAACAATTAAAGACTTCCACTAAATGGTTTAACACAGGGATTCCCAAATGTTTTGTCAGCCAAATCTATTTGACCTAAAACACCGACCTGAAGTAACCCCTAAGATTTTAAGTTCATATTTCTATATTTTAACAACACATATGCATGTTTACATTTCTCCATTAAATGCACTACTGTCCAAAAGCTTGAGTAATTTTTTTCTTGAAATGAAATTGATAGAAAAGATGCATTCGATTGATCAAATATGACAGTAAAGACATTGTTACAAAAGATTTCAAATGCTGTTCTTTTAAACTTTCTATTCATCAGAGAACCCTGATAAAAAACCAGCTCAACTGATGTTTCTTGAGCAGTAAATCAGCACATTAGAATGATTTCTGAAGGATCGTGTGACACTGAAGACTGGAGTAATGATGCTGAAAATTCAGCTTTGATCACAGCAATAAATTACATTTTAAAATATATTCAAATATAATTTTTTTTTGATCAAATGCAGTCTTGATGAGTATAAGAGACTTCTTGCAAAAGCTTTTGAACATTAGTGTATATTCTGTAATAAAATATTTAATCATGTTTATTTTTAAATGAAATAAAATAGCTTTTCATCAACTCAGGAACCCCCAGCAGTTCCTTCATTTGGGAAACCCTGGTTTAACAAATCCAAATGTTCTTTCCAGGAAGCTGTGGTGGGACATCCCACAGTCTATTCATTGACCATCAGATACCTACTGCACATAAAACTGGAAAGCAATTGTGAAAACTACAACAACCTTTGTTTAAAATAAACTGGGTTGATATTTTTGTGCACATGCGATTTGTCAAGTTTACATGTGAGTGCCTTAAACATGTAACTTCACATGTCAGTAAGATGGTCTATTTCATTGTACAGTAGGTAGGGGGTTTTTGGTCAGATTTTCATTTACTGTAATTGAGCAACAATTTCTATATGCTCCTGTGGATAAAATTAGTCGATATTTTAAGTCCATCTTCCTGGGAAAAAAAAATGTCAAAGCTAACATGAACTCACTCTCTCTTCTTTGTTAGGACTCCCCCACAGTGGAATTATCCACACAAAAGCTAATATGAACTAAAAGCCACAATTTTTATTTCATGGGGTCTTTAAATATCTAATATCATAGTTTGAAAACGTGTATGTGTGAATTTGAGTGAGAAGAAACGTGTGTTTATTGTGTGAAAAATCAGAGTTAAAGCAGAAAACGCAAGCAAAGAAAAGAGCCACACAGATGTTCACTCAGAAGGGCAGGGCACACAGTGACCTGACTCACGTAGACTTCCAGACTGGACCTTGAACGAGGTCTCAGTGCAGCCAGATCGCCAAAAGAGCGACTGCGCCTGAGTTTCTCTAGGAGCGTCTCTCTGAGCCTGTGCAAGAACGAGAGACGCTGCTCCTCCCACCGCCGAGGATGCCACTTCTTTGCCATCGACACACGCACACACAACAACCACGATGCACATGGTGCCACAGGGTGAATACAATTCATTAGACACAACAGCACAGACTAAACATGAACATTCACACACAAGATGCAAGTGCTTTCATATTCAAACACAAATATATACAATATATTCATATAAACACAAAATAATAAACACTGAACCCAGAACAGCTAGCCGGAATCAGTAGTGTTATATTTAGTTAAGTATTCAGCTGTTGAAATGTGACAGTGTGATCTAACACCTGATTTCGAAACCTCAATATCCTGTTCGATACTGTATGTACACCCTAGTGAAAAACACGTGCGCTTTACTGTATTGAATGTGCACTTCAAATATGATAATTATACTATAAAAAACTGTAATTGCAGATAATATAATATTAATTAAATAAAAGGCCACTTAAGTCTATTTAAGGAGAGTTTACACTTTCATGACTACGTTTCTTAACACGCGTAAGTATACTTTTAAAAAGTGCCCTCTGTAATAATGTTAAGTAAAAAGTTTTACTTTAAAAGTTGTTTTGATATTACATCTAAAGTTAGTAGTATTTTAGTATGTTAAATGTTTTAAATAGCAAATTTATCATTACAAATGTGTAATTACAAATATACTTAAATACATACAGGTTTCTATTAAAATGACATCAAAGTATATTATAGTTTACCATAAATGCTTATCAGTACATCAACAGCACACTTTAAAGATGACATGTTCTAGGTAATTATGAAATTTCATATAAAGTTGCATTTAATATACATTTAAACTATAATACGTTTTAATTTCATTTTAAACAATATGCAGTTAAGTGTCTGAAAACATTTAGTTCACACTTAAGTATATTTTTTATTTCTGTAATATGTACTCATTTTAAAAGTGTGCTAAAGTGCACTTCTTTTTCACAAGGCCAGGATTTAAGTGCATAATGTTGCAGCTGCAAATCAAGCTTATGGGTTTAGCATGGTGATGGAAGCAGGACTTTAAACAGAACTGAGAGGATTTTTCAGAAGTGGACTCACAAAGAAAGACGTGTCCTGGAAAGTGGGCGTCTCGGGTGTGCCTTGGCTGTACACTGAAACTCGTCTCTGAAGGGCGGTGGCTTTACTCACGTTTCCTGAGGACAGTGTCAGATCCTCCACGTCAAACGGACTGTAAAACAGACATACATTCATGTACAGCAATCTAATATCATACAAAAGTATTTTTAATGAAAGAAAACACAAAAATGATAGAAATGATTTAAATCTTGTTAAAACAACTGTGTAAGCCCCATTAAATGTTAGGCAGAAGTAATTCAGTGTGACTTCCTTGACTGTCCTGAAGAGGGCATTGTATATCATATCATCACTTTCAATCGCTGTGACTAAATTCACTGAAGCGCCACACTTCTTATCTTGTTTTATTAGATAATGTCACTTACAACCAGGCGACCTCCAGGTTAAGTTTAATGGTTCCCAGATCGTTGACGTCTACAGCTACCACCTGAGGCATAGCGGTGAACAGGTCCTTGGTTTCACAGATCACACTACCCACTAAGATGTGAGTGGCCAGCCCCTTTAACTCTGTCACCTAGGAGAATAAAGGTAAGAATTGAGAAATGTCAATTGAGAAATGTTTAATTCAAGATAAATGCATAGCTTTCTTCATAAGAATATGTTTTTCTTGCATTCATCAAGGTTGTAACCAAATATTCAAGATTGAGGGGACGAAATGTAAAATTTTAGGAATCAGTGTTGATCAATATTGAGGGGACGTGTCTTTTCGAATGTCTTTGGTGGTTACAGCCCAGTCTGTCATTGTCAGAATTAGTCACATTGTTACACTGGGACTCTTTCATGGAAGAGTGTGTGGACTGGAGCCCACCTTGATGTTGATGAGGTCTGTAACGAGGGGCATGAAGATCATCTCCTCTCCATCCCAACTCTGCTTGGAGTTCGTTTCGATCTTCCCCTTCAGTTTCCACCGCTGTCGGCCGTATCTCATGAAAATCTGCCAGAAAAAGAAAGAGAGAGGCAAAAAGAACTAAAAATGTCAGAATTAGGAAAAAGCTGCCAACACAAGTTCACATAATTGTTAATAGAGCAGTAAAGCAATGGGAGTTTTCAGTGTTTAGTTTTATACAGCCTTACAAAATCTAATTGGGTTTGGTGGGTGTATGTACTTGTGGATCAGAAGAGAAAACGCTGCTGGGAGAGCTGTGATTGCGAATGAACTGGATGTACTTGGCAGAACAGCGAGCAATTAATATAAGCATTTAGTAATTTGATTGAGGACAGATGCATCTGGCTTTATTACAGAAAAAATGCATGAAAATCAGTATGTTCTGGTTTTTCAAACAACTCACCTCATACTGATCGCCGGGACAAAGCCTGGCAAAACCAGCCAATCCTGAGACAAGAAGCAAAGGAGTTGAAAAGTTTGAAATACAACTAATATTTTATAGATTTTTTCAACATTTTGGTGCAAAAATCCTGTACCTTTCATTTTGATATGAAACTCCCCCAAAAGGTTCTCCAGTTCAGCCTCAAAAGTGCTCATGTTCTGAGATGGGAACACATTGAATATGAATGACAGATCAAATGAGATATTAAATTGGCCATAAACATTACTTATGTTATATAATATATATATAATATAACTTACTGAACTATTTTTTACTAAACAGTAATCTGCATTATAGTTATTTAATAAATAAAAACGGGCATATTTATTATTATATTTAATCATAATAAATATATATTTATAATTATTACATATTTATAATTATTATTATAAAGGATATATTTATTATATATAATGTCATTATTGTGGGCAGTTTGTTTGCATATGTTATATGCAATTCTAATTATAGTAAATAAATATAACTAGCAAAAGTTTGAAACAAATCGTGTTTTTAGTTGTTTATAACAAGAAATATTTAATATACATTAACGTTTACCGTTTTTACCATTTGTTTTTGAAAGAAGTCTTTAATGCTCAGCAAGGCTGCATTTATTTGATCAAAATACAGTAAAAACAATAAAATTGTGAAATATTATTTACAATTTAATTTTATTCATATTTTATTTTATTCACTATTTAATTTTATTCTTATTATTAATTTTGAAAAGAGGTGTGCTGTTTTATGTTTTTGTGGAAAGTGCTACATTTTTTTCAGGATATGTCTTATGTAAATGCCCTCTCAGAAACAGGTGAACCCGAAACTAGCCTAATTACACAGTCCAATTAGTCGATTAGTCATTCGGGTCAATCCACACTCTAGTTGATTTTAAAATATGCACTCTATGTGTGAACATAGTCCGAAAACTGGTCAGACAAACAAACATTAATAATGTACCTCTGTATACTCTTTGTATCTGCGGTTGACCTCCGCCAGGCTCACACGTGTGCCTTTAGTGGAGGGTGAAGCAGTGAAGGCCTGTTTCATCTTACTGGCGCCATCACGCAACCTACTCTGAATACAAAAGCCCTCGTACAGCTCGTCGACCTGTAAAAACACACACACACACACACACACACACACACCGCATTGGCACACAGGCTTATATTACACAAAAGCAGCACTGAACACGCTCACGCATGCTAACGCTCACTAAAGATTGCATAAACGCTAGCTTTGATGTCTAAAGTGGTAGCATACATCATTACAGAGCCCTGGGGGACCCCATTCAGCACAGAAACGTGGCTTTTACAATCTACTGTAACGTTCTGTCAGCACAATAGAGCGGCGTACTGTACAGAGTGTTGAAAAATGAATTTGAACACTTCAAAAGCAAACACAAAATGATGCGGCTCAACAGCCCTGGGGACAATAGTAATGCCATACTTCTGTGACAGACGAGCATGTCGGAGCCACGGCCTTTATCATGGAAATGCACATTTAGCACATTCACAACTCAGTGAACACTGGCCGGCTCAAATTAGCTATGCTAATCCTACCAGCACTGAAGAGAGAGTGATTGAGGGGGATGGAGAGATAGCAAGAGGGGCAAACGAGGATGCGGAGATGGACCGCAAGCGACAGAAATAAGTGAGCCGAAAGGGCCAGCAAGAAGAGAATGATGGGGGAGAGAAAATAGAGTAGGCAGGAAGAGGGATGGACACTGGAGCTAAACGAGATTCCGCAGTGACTTCCTGTGATGCAGTGTTTCCTGTATCGCTGCTGAATCTGTAGTGTCAAAATTATACATGTATTAAGGATGTGTTAATGTGTTATGTTTATGCCATTAAGCCATTGCGATGGACTGTTTTAATAAACTGTTTTAAGCCATTAAAACTGTTTCCTTTAGAGCTGACTTGAACTGATTGTTCCTAGTGGAGCATCTGTTTGTTAGCTAATGAGAGCCTCTTTAACGGTCATTTCTTTATAAAACAAACCAGACTACAGTTCAAAAGTGTAGAGTCTTTTTAATGTTCCTAAAATAACTCTTCTGCTCACCAAGCCTGCATTTATTTGATCAAATATACATTAAAAACAAGAATATTGTGAAATATTATATTTATTTAATTCTATTTATATATTTTTATATATGTTATATAATTCTATTTATTTAATATATATATATATATATATATATATATATCTGTTATTTATTCCGGTGATGCAAAGCTGAATTTGTATTGAGTTCCAGTGCATTTTGATTCAGTTTCTGTAAATACGGAACACAGAATATGTTTTTGTGGTAATGAGATGAGTGCTCATTACCACAATTGTTTCCTGAGTGTTAACAAGCACAATGACTGCAATATACTGTATATATGCGCATTGTATGTCACTGTGTTTATGCCTTATTTACTGACTAAAAAAAAACAACAACAACAAACAATGCAATGTACTATCCAATTTGCTAACAAAATGCTTGCCTGGCAAAGCAGTTTTAATCATTGTTCTGAATCATGGATTGAATCAATCTGACATCTCAGGAATCAGCTCAGATGACTCGCTCGCTCACTAAATGACATTATTATTAATGTCTGATTCAACACAAGCAGTTACTGTTACTGAGAGCAATGTTCAAAATAGGTACATTTAAGTAAGTAAGATTATTGAAACTTAAATCAGCTTATACCAAGTACAAGTTAATAGTGTAGAATGGAGCTTTAGAGTTTTGTTATAGTGGTATTTTAATCAAAAACAATTTTATGTTAGAAGAAATTGAATTGTTAATGTTTATCAAAATGTTAGAAGCATTTTCAAGTTTGCCCTACAGAGCGCCGTTCTGCGAGGAAGTCTGTACAAAGATTTCCTCCATAACATACAGATTGGCCTCTTACAGAAGAAAACAAAACATGTCAGGATACTAAATCAAAAGGAAATATTCAAACACACGCAGCAAAGGGACGTGAAATATTGATGCGGGGCTTTTTGAAGTCTCTCATTAAGGGGAAAGGGTGAGAAACAGGACAATCTAACCCAATTAGTGTGTGTGGATGGGGTATATTAACTGTGCATATGATGGATGTGCATGTGTGTGCTATGATGTGTGGGGGTTGTTCATGATAAACGACATACATTAGACAGACAGTTAGCTGTGCGCATATGGGGATAGAGTGTCTGGACGGTGGTCCTGTGGGTTTAATTACACTGGGAGGAAAGACCCCACCCAAGTCTGGAGAACTGCACCGCGTACCACACACATACACATGCGTACTGTCACCAATCGCAGCCCTAATGTGATACACAGCTGCCTGTTTATTTGGCTCCGTAAAACCCCTTGTCTGACTCCTCTCATCTGCCACAGCAGCATGGGAAATGAATCACCATAACCGCCCCCAGCCCGGTCCATTCTGGCTGTTGGGTGGGGTCTGATGGGTGAATTTTTATGAGCTGCATTTTGACAATAAATAAGCCTTTGGAAAAACACAGTTTTTCTTAACTATAGCTATCAGCTCAGTGTCTAATTTAAATGAATTTTCCAAACAAAGAAAACATTCTGTAAACAGGGACTTTGAAGCTCAAACAAGAACATAAAGCACCATAAAGGTACCATGAAATAGTGATTTTGTGCCTCGTTGGGATGGCACCACAAGGCGTCGTTCACTTTTTAGAACGCAAGCTTCTGGAGGGCGCATAAGTCTGAACTAGCGAGTTTAGGTATATTGGTGCAGAGCCAGTGGTTGTCTTATAGGCAAACATCAGTACTTTGAATTTAATGCAAGCGGCTATTGGCAGCCAGTGCAAACTGATGAAGAGAGGTGTGATGTGGGCTTTCTTCTTTCTTCTTCTTCTTTTGTGTTCCAAAGATAAATGAAAGTCTTATGGGTTTGGAACAACATGAGGGTGAGTAAATGACAACAGGATTTTGAACTAACCCTTTAAGTCATTATTCACTAAAAGCATTTCCTTCAACAAATCTCACTGGCACCACTGAATATTCATTCATGCTGCAACACAACTGATCATGTGACAACGTATGAGCCAGAACCAATCATTCTTATCATAGTGAGTGCATATTTGAAGATGTATGAATATTCGATTGTAAATTAGATTTGAGGGCTCAAGTGTTATGTCATCTGCAGGATGCTCACACAAATGTCATCCAAATTTACCAAAGGTATCCACGGAATAAGTCTAAACAGGAGTGACTTGTGACTAACAGGATGGTGTGCCGCTCAGGTTAGCTGTGGCTGTCAGCAGAGGGTTTGGCAGAGCTTTGTGTTTGTTTGATACGGACACAGCAGAAAAGAAGCATTGAGCCATTACAGTCGGCTGATACTCAGCCAGATTGATATTGTCTCTAGTATTTTTAGTTGTCAGTTCATTCAGCAGTAAACTAAACTAAAGTTCAGCTTATTGCATTTAATATAAATTAACATTCAATTAAGTGTATAAAAACATTCACACTTCAGATTATTAAAGTACATTATTTCCATAATAAGTACTCTCTTTAAAAGTATGCTAAAGTGCTTCTTTTTCACAAGGATACACAGTACACGCGTTTTAGAAAATTATAATATAATAAAATATAATGTGAGAGTGTATTGGTGGTGTGGTGTGTAGAAGTATGTTGGTGTGGAAGATGATGCATCTGACGCAAACTGAGTGACACACACCCAAATATGCATTTCTGCAAACAGTCCTTCCCGCTGGGAATGCGTTTGATCTACTTGGGCATGACTTCTTTTTGGTTGACAGCAGAGGTCCAAGGCGCGACTCAACCCAGCCATGTATGCGTGTGAGCAGCTGTTTGTCAGCCCTCTGTCCATCGCAAGTGCGGGGTTTCGGATTAGGCCTACTGAGTCAAATAACAAGCCAAGAATACACAGCTGGTCCACACACACCACAAAAACAACAGAAGGAACGAGACCAAGAGTGGACACATACATGGCATATTAATATGTATCACTGTACAATGAGGATTTTTTAAATGGACGAGGTGGAAAAATCCTCTTAAGTTACAGGCATGTATCAGCTGTGATCAGAGGATTTAGACCCCTACTCAGGGGGGATGCCAGACTCACTAATCAGAGATTAAACCTACAATAATTCACGCACATCAAACATCTTTGAGGTCCAAAGCCAGATCATAAACTGCAAGCTGAGGCCTTTTGAAACTTCCTGTTCGTGTTGCCTAACTTCCTATGGGCAAGCAGGACAACTAGGGTTGTTATAAAGTTGATTTTTAAAAGCACAAACCTCTGCCGAGAGTCTGAGGCTGAGTTATCTATGTACTTTCTGTGAGAGAGACACATAAAATAATGATATAATTATAGACATTAGTTTTCCCACAGCCATTGCTGGACTCTTTACTCACAGCTCTCACAGACCAATGTGCTGGATATTATGTGCTGATGTCTTTCAACAGAGGCTATGGAACTAAAATAGTCACAGACACTGCCTGCTTTACAAGAGAAAAAAAAGGAGACGACTCAACCTATTAGGAATTAACTTTGTGGAGAGGGTTGCTGTGCTCTAGCATGCTAACAGACTAACAGTAATTGTTGACTGTCAACACGTTTAAACCCTCTTTGAGAAGTTGCGCATCTGAATTCATCCCTGAATTCAACCAGCCCTGCTCCTGTAACAAATCCTCCTCCTCCAACAATAAATATCAAGACTTTTACTGCCAGACCTTAAATTAATGTGGATAGCAACATGGCCCGTATAATTTGATCTTAGAAAAATTTTATAAAAAAAAAAGATTTCAATGAGAAATTGGAAGTTCATTCTAAAATTCACACTGAAATTATGATTGCAGGAATCATGTAGTGATGGTAAGCCTGATTCTATTCTGTGAACCGGTTCAAAAAAACAATTCACCTTTTCATCATGTGTCATTGTGTAATAACGTCATTAATATGTAATGTAATGTAATATAGTATAATATAATATAATATTATATTGTGTTCAGTTCACCAGTTCCTTTAGGTCATCATGTTATGGCATCATTGATATGCAATGCTATCACGCTATTTATTAAATGAAATAATAATAATAATAATAATAATGTTACTTAATATAACTAGATGTGCTATGCATATTTCCAGTATGTTATTGAAGAAAAGTCCATGTGAATTTTTCCAAAGATTTAGTCTAATTTGTTGAACTGGTTTAACAGTTCACTAAAAAGAACCGGTTCAAAAGAATGATTTCTTCACGAACCTGACATCACTATTATGTTGGCAAATCTGAACAAGTGTTATGATCTCTTCTGAAGCTTCAGCGAAGATACATATGAGATTACTAGGGTCTTTACCTAGTAAGTAGGAGTCCATTTGCTCTATATTTATTCAGCCTGAGAGAAATAGTTGAGGTATTAAAGAGAACTCATTTGTGATCCATGCGATCTAAATAGCTCAAATCAGCTTTGAACATAAACTTTCCCTTTTTGTTTCACCAAAATCATAAAGAAAATGCATTTCCCTCCTATTTAGACATGCACATGCTCATTATCACCCTGGATTGAGCCATCGGAGGTTTGTTTGTCACTCAAGGGAATTGCTTTGACCTAGATCCAGTGGCAACCATAAACAGCATAAAACACAGGGGGAAACAAAACACTTCTGTAAGTCACACACAAAATGTTCTTCATAAGGGCGGAAACAAAATAATAATGATTGAATTGATTTTTTGAGATCTGTATACTACCGCACAGTTCAGAGTGTTCCAGTGAGCTAGCAGAATGCGGGGCTAATTTCAAGTGCGTAGGGCTAATTTGAGCTATGAATTGCTCTTCAACAGCCTCAAAGCTCCTATCGTCAGGTTGCCATGGCTACTTCGGGACTAGACGTGCTGCTGAGTTGCCCATCAGTACTGTAGTTTACAGCAGACACCCACCTGTAATGTCACTAAAACACACTGCAAGAAGAAGGGGACACAGCAGGACTCCAGACACTGGAGAATGTCAAACCAGGAGACTCGAAATGAGTCAGGACATTCATTAGAAACAAGCGCAGGGTGCGAACTACGGGGGAGCTAGGGGGAGCTCGGCTCCCAAACACTGAACAAGCGCTCTCAGAAAAGAACTATTTTCACTTGTTGTACTGCCTTCACTTTTTACAATCTATAAAATAGACAACGAAAAGCACACACACACATATATATATATATATATATATATATTAAAATGACATGAACTTCACCTTGCTGATGTGGAACTCCAGTCGTCGCATGTAACGCTCTATGGTCTTCATTTGCTAGGAAGCAAGAAGAGAAAATGTCAAAAAGCAAAGTTATTCACTGAAAGAGAAAAGACCAAACAGAAAAAAGTTTTTCACACAGGGATGAATCTAGGCTCAGAGTCCCTAATTTTCAACACGGCTGACACCAGCGGCAATTAGAGTGGCGCAATAACGGATCACTGCTGCACAAATGCAGCACATCATTCGAATGAAGCATATGTTTCTGACTTCAAACTTCTTAGAAAGGTTAATACAGGTCACCTCAGTCAGGTTAAGAAGCATTAGTGTGTTTAGGGACCCTACCTTGTCCAGATCATACAGCACACCCTGAAGAAGAAAGAAAGATATGTGAAATCAGTGGAAATGCTACAAAAATCAACATTTTATTATTAAAAAATTGATATTTGGACAAAAACCCTGCTGAAAAGACCATCTTAGACCAGCATGAAATCCATGATGGTCCAGGCTGGTTTACGCCGTTTAATGCTGGTCAAGCTGGTGGATCAATATAGCCATGCTGGCAACAAAACAAACAAACCGATGAAGTACTGAAAATACTTGATCAGGGATTTCTTGCTTCTTTTAGCAAATAAAGTCTGACACCAGCACACCAGCATCCAACTAAAGCATATGCTGCACTGCAATTAATGACTTCTTAATGAGTTTTTAATTTCTTTTTTTCACTTGTTTTTTATTGGTTTATAAAAAGAAAAAAATCTGCCACTGCAGTACGCCAAAATGTCTCATATTAAAAATGCATTCTCTGAAGACAAGTCTTAATGTCTTATGCAGTGTTGCTTCTCAAGTAAAACACCTCATTTAAAGCATTTCTAGATCTTCAAATACATTATTTCGTTATAATATATGTTTTTTCTAAGTCTCCTATGCTCACAAAGGCAACATTTATTAGATCAAAAATAAAAAAAATGTAATATTGCAAAATATTATTACAATTTAAAAAAAACTGTTTTCTATTTGAATTTATTTTAAAATGTAATTTATTTCTATAATGCAAAGCTGAATTTTCAGCATCATTACTGCACTCTTCAGTGTCACGTGATCATTCAGAAATCATTCTAATATGCTGATTTGCTGCTCAAGAAAGATTTCTTATTATTATCAATGCTGAAACCAGCTGTACTGCTTCTTATATCTTTGTGGAACCAATGATAGTTTTTTCAGAATTATTTGATCAATCAAATTTAATGTGTCCTTGTTGAATTCCTCTTTAGTTTTTCAGCAGGGTATACACTCTAACAGTAATTCTGAGTAAAGGTGCTTGCACACTACAGAAAGTCCAAGCACCCTGATGATGTCATATCCAGTCTCACCAGTCTGGAGTTCCTCTTCATGTCTTTCATGAGGGAAGTGAGTTTATCCAGCTCTGTTTGGTGCACCTCTAGATATTCACTGACAGTAAGAGAAAATGACAGACTTCAGAATGATGCAGGAAGAATGGCCGTACACAAAGATTTCATCACAGCCATTCTGAGCAGCAGTGATTAATGCAGTCAATGTGCGTACAGTATGACTGTAGCAAGAGTTGAGAGAGAAGATCTATGTGAAAGGAGAAATGCGAGTCAGAGGAGACATCTGAGCAGCACTCACTCCAGGCCTTGTTTGAGGGCTCCGTAAACTTCTTCCACTCTTTTGGGCTGCGGCTCTCGTGAGCTGCTGCTGCTGCTCGACTTGTGCCCAGACAGATGGGGCTTCCTGGGCTTTGACATGGGCTTCTTCTGCACTGCTGAGTTCCCCATGAAGGAGTTACACCTGAAAACACAAACAGATGTGAATGAATCTTAAAAAATCCTGTCAAGAACATGTGGTGGTCCTTCGCCACCCCAAAATGAGATAGAAATAATAAATTACTTTTTGCTTAAAAAAAAATAAAGCCTTATTTTTCACACTGACGTTTATTAAATCACAGTTGCTGTGTTGCGCTGCTGCTCATTTGATTTTAAAGTTGAGCTCTATTGCATCAAATGTTGCTGTCACTCAACCAGTTGACAATTTAAAATTATTATTTAAATTTTTTTTTTTGTTTTTTTTTTTGCAGGCAGCTGCCATTGTAAACAACTCCTATGATTGTTTGCATTGTGACAATATTTTTTTGTAAACATAATAATAAATCATTTAAATTGCAAAATACATTTTCTTTGTTATACTGCCTTGAATGTATGCTGATAAAATTATTAAAAATGATTTTATTTTTGTTATTTGAATAGAAAATTAATTCTATTAAATATAGAAAATAAATCACTACATCATTACAGTAATGAGAATCTTGAAAATAGAAATTAGAATATAAAAATATAAAATATAAAACAGAAACTGCAAAAAATAAAAATGACCAGATGCATTACAGTATAATTCAAATAATTATAATAATTAATACACAATTACACAGAAATAATTAAAATTAATAATTTCTTATTGTTATTCTTTTAATTTTGGGGTGAAATACGGTCTGGAAATGCTTCCAGTGTAAAAGCCAGTGAGTTTAGTGCAGACTTGAAGCCTGTAGTCTAGTTTTGGCATTTTAGTGCATTTTACGCTGTAATATCCATGCAAATAACCACCCTCTTCTCTTTTGGGAGGCTTCAAGGATTCATGTCATATGCGGATAAAGCTTGTAGTGTTGTACATCTAATGTCACCCTTCCTCAATGCTTCCTGACATTTAAGACTCTGTCAAAAGGCAGGGTGCTTATTTACTTCTGTTGTCACAGTCCACCACATCTAATAATATTTCTGTTTCATAATAACACAGTGGCAGTTGGTGGCTCAACGTGTCTGAATGTGTAACACGCACACGCAGTCAAAAAAAAAAAGCACTGGAAGTAGTGCTACAGTAAATCTAGGCCATTGTGTAGAATGAGCACATGCTTTTGCCTAAGGGTCATCCACTCACGATGCACTCCGTCATGCTAAGATAAGTCAGCGTGCATTGCATAAACACACTCTTTAATACTGTTACTGCATCCACTGTTTCACATGAATATAATGTGCAGTTCTTTTGTAATTTTTAAGTTTATTTTTAAATTAAAAAATAGTGGAAAGTAAGTGAAAGCGGTTATTGCAGCAATGGGAGGAATTAAGAGTTTTAACATGTTCAACAAGCATTATGGATTTGGTGTTTACAATTTATTCTTCCATAGTGGCAAAACTGATGCTTTATATTCATCTAGTGGCTGGAGTAACTCATCTAGGGAGGGGGGTTGGTGTTTTAGCTTCTGACAGGGCCGATGACCTCACCGTGAGCGTCTCTCCTGCAGGGTGCTGAAGCCAGCGAACGACTGGCTCCTGATGATGCCATTGGGCCCTCCAGGAGAGTGAGTGCCAGCAGCCATGATGTCTGGGAAGCGGGAGGACACTCCTGCAAGGAAGCAGAAAGGATTCTGGGTAAGTAAGAAGTCAGTGGTACAGGTGGGGGAAGGGTTGCGTGTGTAGGATGATGATGTTGGAAATGACCAAATGCAAATTTATAACCAGTAGTCCATTTAAAGTGATAATTCACTCAACAATAAAAATCTGGTGTTGATTAAATCACCCTCGTGTTACGAGCATGTGTGAACTAGGCAACTGAATAAAGGGGTGAAATGAAAGTTTTTATGGTTTCTTTCTCATAGTTTATGTAAAACGGTGAGTTGACTAAGACTAGTTTATTCACTTTATATGCTTTAGACATGTAAAACATCCACATTTCACATCATTAGTCAGTGCTTTACTATAATTGCATATACATTAATGTCATTGTGTGATTTGGTAAATGAAGTAGTGAATCACTTATTTGAACCAGTTCATTGAAACAAACTGTTCAAAAGAACCAGTTTGCAGCAAAGAAACGGATTTCCCCGTATGGATTACAGGTAATAATGTTGTAAGTAATGTTCAGTTTCTTGCACAGACTGATCGTTTCACTTCATAAGACCACAATATATCATCAGGAGCCATGAGTATTCATTTTGTTTTGCCACATATGATTTTTTTTTACTCTTAGAGTGATGGTAACCGTTGACTTGCACTTTATGTATCACCAAGGACCAAGATTCAGCTAAAAATCTTCTTTACTGTTCAACTGATGAAAAACATTACCTACATTTTGGATGGCCTGAGGGTCAGAAAATTATCAGCAATTTTTCATTTTTGGGTGAACTATCCCTTTAAAGACATAGGATATTATTTCAGGCACACAAATAATAAATATGATTATATTAATGCACTTATAACTGAAGATAACAAGATTGTGCATTTCAGGGGTTTCAATGCAGAAATGTACAGTTACTCCTTTTGTTAAAACAATATGAAATGAACTTGATTCATGTCACAGATTTTCATTTGGGTTTTTGCTTTTTTTTTAAAAACAAGGTACAAATCAAAATGATGTTATGTGGTAATTGATATTACGACAAATGTTGTCAATTAACTTGTTGTCAACTGAGCCTGACACATTCACCAGATTTATACAGTTACTGAAAATAGCACTGCTGGTTGAGGAGACCCCATATGGTGCACATTCAGAGGTTTTTATAAACCACTCAAAGCCACCTGAGCCCACCGCAGATCAAGACGCAGAAAAAGCACTTAGAAACATGAGGTGGCCTAATGGAGTCCAGAAAGACCAACGTAATCATTTCTATCAAGTGTAATGATCCAGGGAGGGCACAGAAAACTCCTGCCTACAAAATAGCCTTCAAGATCATCTCTGTCTCCTTATAGCCCATCTCCAACCTCCCATAATTCATCAGAGCAAAACGGGATGATGACAGCGGCGGCATGAGGCTATGAGATCTGTGATCAACGATGTGAGAGACTCATTCTGACCCTAGATCAGCATATAACCTTCGTAACCCTGCCTGGCACTGATAGCTACACCAAAAGAGTGAAAAATCTGGGTTTTGCGGCTGAGATTCTCGGTATAGTTGAGGTTACACACTGTGTCCAGGGGCTGTTTGTTGGAGGTAATCATACACCTGTGGGTTTATGCTCAATGCAATAGATACATCATTGCTTATACAGAGCTACACAAAACCAATACGGCTCTGGGATAGATGTTGTTTTGCAGAGGAAAAACAAAAGAGCCTTGTATAACGTGTGCCAGGCTATTTTATAGGCACTGTAATATTGGTTTTGCCTCTAGAACATGAACTTATGTACTGTGCAGTTTGATCATATGACAAACTCTCAGATCATCCGCATAAACAGGAAAATAAAAGGCAGACATATTAAAAGAATACACAGTAGCATACAGTTCTTAAAGTCTAAAATAACCCATCCAATCAGAAAAATGCTCTACAGAACGGTGATATTAAATTTCCATATTTTTCTAAATATGTGTAGCTAATAAAATAGCTAAATAAAATAATCTACTGAAAATACAATACAATAAATATGTACGTATGTTTGTGTATGTATATACTGTATGTATGTATATATATATATATATATATATATATATACATACATACATACTGTATGTGTGTTTGTGTGTACATACACATACATAAACAGCACTATTGCAAACAGGAGCAAGTATACTACATAGAAATTTCCTGTTGGCACGTTATTTGAGTGGACTTTGCTTTTATATATTACTATTACTATATATTACTGTGTACAGTATATAGTATATTTAGTATTCTTTTATATCATGTTTTTATTAATTTACTACATTTTTAATTCTATATTAATGGTGCAGTCTTATTTATTTTATATCAACTTAATTCATGCATCAAAGGGTTAATGCTGAAATCTATCAAAACACAAAACGAACTCAAGGAAACCAATATAACCAACTGCTTATTTCAACAAACAAAGGTTCCACTTTAGTTTCAAAAACACAAAGCGACACTGTGCCACCCAGTGCATGCTGGGATTGTTCCACTCATTCAATTCAGGCCTAGTCATCATGGTTCACAGGCACTGGTGAAGCGCCGTTGATGTGGGCTACATCATTCCCCGTCCCTCCGGGCACGACGCTCATAAGTATTCTGAGTACAGCTGCCTGGCACCCAACTCTGAACTCTTCACTGTGAGAGACGGATGACGAGGACAAAAGAACCAGGGAGGGGGGCTTCATTAATTTGTCACCTCCAGCAGGGACCATGTTTATCAGGCCAGTTGAGGGTGTGAGGGGGGTCTTGAAGCTGGGCTAGAGATGTACTGAATAAAAAGTGTGTGTGAGGGGGAGAGGGTCCCTTGTTTCCTCCCAACAGCCCACATTATGAATTCTGACTAAAAGTGTTTTTTTTTGTTGTTATATCTAACAATAAGATATATCTATCTTTTTGTTTTTTTAGACAATTTTAATCTGCAATTTATTGGTTAACAGCCAGAACATGAAAATAATTATCAGCTTATCATATCAGACAATTTTAACACTAGTGCAACCCTAGTTTTAAAGGGACAGTGCACCCAAAAATGTTTATTCTGTCATAATTTACCCTCAAGTTGTCCCACATTCTTCAGAATGTCTTCTTTTGTGTTCAATAGAAGTAAGAAACTCATACAGGGTTGGAACAACTTGAGGGTGAGTAAATGATGACCTATCCCTTTAAGGATGTTAAATAGAGTATTTTTACTGAGAAAAAAAAAATGGATGTGATTATTATCAAACAAATAACATCAAGATTTTATCGAAGCCATCCATTTCCTTTCTGCACTTCAGCCCTCAGAAAAGTAATTATATTTTCCAAGCAAGCAAGTGTGCACTGCCGCATGCACACATGCACAAGCGGACACTATCTGCACGCGTGAATATCATCAGACTCAACCCACACGGCAACTTAACAGCAGGACTATTCCTAATGTCTGTCTAAATTACAGTTTCTATAGTAACAGCAGACAATGCACAATGTGTCCAGTAAAAGAACACTGTTATCATGGATCCCCCGCAGCAGGCCTCCTCCTGTCCTTCTGCTCTGAAGACCTGTTGTCTTTCTGGTCTTTTGCTCGAAGGTAGGAGGAGTTCAGCAGCTGTGTGATGCTCAGCTGGTCTTGTCCCACACTGACACTTGCTCTCCACTCCACCTTGGAAGAGCGATGAACTCATTTCAAACACCCATGCCAGGTCAGAGAACTGTCAGGCATGTGGCAGTGGCCGACTGACCCTGTTCTACTCATGCTGTAGTAATGTGTGCTTTTGGGCAGTGTCGCCAGACGGGCCAGAACAATTAGTATACGAGGATGTGCAAAAACCACATACACTCAAAATCGACTAGTCAGATTGGTTGACTCAATGACCAAATATGTCATAACAGGCCTGACTTATATCACTGCACAGGAAAGGACTCTTTATTATGAGCACAAAGATTATAAACAGTGAAACATGATTCTAAAGCAGGCGCATGATGACTGAATGGATGCTCTTGTGTTGTGACCAAAAGATCATGTGGTCATGACAGTGGCTGCTATTGTTTATCAGTGTCCTAAAAAATCCAACATTTGTTTTGAAATTGGGAGGCACTTCAAGTTTATCGCCACAAGAACACAATTTGAGAAACTGTTCAAGTCTACAGCGCCTTAATAGCAGCATTATTTTAAAATATATGAGGTGCAAGCATAAAATCTTTAAAAAATGTAATCAAAGCATTTATTAATTTAATGTGGGCTTCAACAGCCTGCACAAAAATCACTAAATAAGGGTCAGCTAGCTATAACCACACCCACTGATTGCATCTGCAAAATGCAAACATGAGGAAATAAGCACAACTTTTTTTTGACAGAGTAAGAACAAACAAGTGAAACATTCCCCATGTCAGAAAAAACACAAACACAAATTAAAATGTGACAGTGCATGCCCAAACATAATAAAAAGTGCAAAGAATGTACAGGTGGAATGATACAAGAAAATATGAAAACGCCCTCTCACTTGGGTCAGCAATGGTTTGTTCTATTCAACTCCATTCAAGTCAGGAACATCCAAACTTTCTATTGTTCAAAATATAATATTTGATGGTTACTTTAGAGTCAACTTTAAAAAAAATGAATGGAATGAATGGAAAGTTACCAGAGACCCAAACTGAAGTGGACCAAAAAGAGAATCCAAGTTCACGTTTTATGCTTGCAAAGAGAACCACAATAACACTGTAAAACTTTAGTGTAACACTAGAGGAAAAACTAAACTGTTAATAAATTAACAGTAAGTTCCCATACTATATACAGGGAAAAACTGTAAAATATCTAACCAGACATTTCATGTAATTTTACAGTAAAATGCTGTTAATTGTGAAATTTTTAGAAGTAAAAAAGAACAAATCAACGTATAATTAAGAGTAAAAATATATATTTCCTGACATTTCCAGAATTCCCTGCCTGACACTCAACATTTGAAAGTATTTTGTTTAAATAATTATGTTTCTTAATAGTTTTGTCATG